TTCTATTCTATGGATCAATTAATCAACTTTGTCATAATTAAAGCAAAAAATTAAAAGTAAAGGTAACACACAAAATAAAGTTTGATCCTTTTATTGCCCATTTGTGAAATAATTATCATGTGGTTAAGCACTAGTTTGTGGTGCAAGCAGAAAGGTATGGAGAAAATGGTTAAAAAATAGTTGCCTTTAAAGCTTCCCTTTTTAGGGTTGTGGAGAGATCAATATTGTTTCCCACTATATTTTGGACCTTCTTATTTTATTTTATATTTTATTTTATTTCATGTTATATAATTAATAAACCACCAAAATTGGTTCAAATGCCCTTCTTATCTTTCTCTTCTTTTCAGACCAGACCCACTGCACATAATTCTCTGCCTCCAACAAAGGAATTTGTGAACTGTTTGAAGAATGATTGGCCCATTAGGGGTCACTCTCACCACCCACATTTTGCAGATTATTTATTTCAAAAAATGTAAAATATATTTGATGGGTACATAAATAAAGTATAGGCTGTAAAATAATTGCTTATTGGTGAGATAATTTGTAACACGTACTCTTTTAATATAACAAATTAAATATGACATTTGATAACATAAGTATATATTTTTTTCATATAATATGATGGGTCGAGTCGCCTAACGATTAGACTGACTCACACAAGAATTTGTGTTTGTAATAAGGTCTTGCAGTGTAAACGAATCGAGTCGAACTTGAACTTCTAATACTCGAGCTCGATCCTTTACCGAGTCAAATTGTTTACTAAACGAGCCTGAGTTCGGTTGACGAGCCGAACTCGTTCCTTAACAAGTCATGCTAAGATTAAATTTCTAAAAATTAGTTAAAACCCCTATTTCTTGAGTCTTAACAAGTTGAGTTGAGCTACGAGTGATTCTTTTCGTTTAACGTCTCTATAACTTGTCCCAGAATCTTGATATATATAATTAGTACAAATATATGGCTTCCAATTTAATTTTTATGGTCATGACTTTGAAGACTTGAAACAATTTGATCAAATAAGATGATCTAATTTTGATGAAGTTGTATACGTATTATATCATCCATAAGAGTGTTTGAATACTTTTTTCATTTTCATGTATTTAGTTAGTGTTACTGTTGTTAATTATTAATTGTGTTACTATAGTTATTGCTATATATTCTTTCTTGTTATCTGCTTAGTGGAAACATTATCTGTAAAGTTTCTTGGGTGGCCTGAAAGAACAGATTCCAATCCCAGATGCACCACACTATAATATTATTTAAATTTTAAATACAATTTAAGTAACACAATAATAAATGATTCTTATATATCAATTATCTTCTTAAATTTTGCGTTGGTGGCATGAGATGGTTTATGTGGATGGCATGTGAGAGAACTATAGTACTAACATTCTTGCTTTTGATGACATTTTATTTTTTATTTACTTATTCGAAAATATGTTCTTTGCTCTGCTTTTAATTTTTTTGGGTACAAATTCCTTTTGTGAATAAAGTGGGCAAAGGCTGCCAGCTTTTGGTTGATGCTTTGGGGCATATGTAGAATATCAATACAAAAGAATGGCTAATGTGGAAATTTGAACGATCAGTTTGATAAGTTCTTGATTCAGCATAATTTTTGTTGGGTGATGGTCTAAATAAACCAAGCTATATATAGCAATTCTTGAACTTGAACATTGGGAAAAGCATGAGATGGATGTAATTTAGAAATTGAGAATAAGGATGCTAACATCTACAATTTTTTTTTCTTTATTTATAAAGAATAAAAGATTGATTTTGAAATTATTTGTGCTCATAATCCTTTAACACCCCATGCATCTAGTTTGTTCAGTGTTGAGTAGGGTTGTAAATTAATCAAATATTTTCGATTCGGTTCATGATTTAAATTCAGTATTCGTGATTCGTATTTATAAAAAATCAATTTTAATTTCAAATAAGAATAATATATAGTATTCGAAATTTATTCGAATCTGAATCTGAATATGTACATATTTGATTCAAAATTATCTAATGTAATAAAAATTATATATTACTTCATATATTATATATAATATAAGATTTTTTTATATAATTTAAATATAAAACACAAGAAATATATTTATATTAAAAAAACTATTCCAAATATATTATTTCTGACATTTATCTGGTCATTTTAGGTTGAAAAACTATCATACAAGGATCATTGCCCGATGTAAAAATGGTTGCATCCATCAGAAAATGAGTAAAATTGCAAAGGGTTACTTCTGATGAATATATGATCATTTCATTTTGACTTGAAAGATACATAGAGACTTTAGAAGAATGACAATTTTGACTAGATTACCTTTAACAAAATTTGAAGTGCTATATATTTTATAATATTACTCCCACTAAGTTGAGCGAGTTATATGTGTCATCATGGCAGAGAAAATGGTACACTAGCACGCGCATAAGTTGCACGAAAATCCCTTTAACTTGCTAGCTATTAGTACATCATTCAAAAGTGGGCAACAAGTCTTGTTATGGGCACATTTCATGAGTCTAGCTTGTCATCTTCAAGCAATTGAAGATTGTGACAATTTTAACCCTTGATGTCTATGTGTAAATCGTGATTCGATCAGATCGTAATTTGCAAAACGAACTCGAGATTACCAAAATCACGAAGTTTGTTTTGTTAAGGCTGAAATTGGATTCAAGATTCTCATAATGGTAATTGAACAACATAATAATAAGCTACTTGAACAAAAATAAGTTCGAAGAAAAAGTTTCGAATTTACAACTTGATTTTGAGTTTACAACTGGCATGCCTGAGTTAAGCTCCGGTAATCGAAAGTTGTCTAATAGTTAATCAGTTCTTATACTAATCATGATTTGTTATTGAACTATTGATGTCCATTATATTGAACAATGCTACTCATATACATACATTTCAAATAACATAATTATTCATAAGCCATATGCTTGCTTAGTTATGTATAGATGTGTGTGTGCACACACAAGTGATGTGAATGTGTGATGCAAATCATGATGCCAAACACTAAATGTAAGAATGAAAATTGTGACATAGAATTGAAAGTAAACCCCACCAAATATGTACGAGAAATTAAGGAGAAGCACATGGCCAAAAAATAAAAATAAAAATAAAAAAAAAAAGAGAGAGAGAAGGCTATTACATTGGCAAAATGGGTCGGGCTAAAGCAAACGACCCGTTTGTGGTTCTTGTAAGAGGAAACTTGGAAAAACACTATATGTGCTTTGCCACTTTGGGGTTGAAGATTGAAAAGAGAAAAATATTGAAAAATAAATACATAAATAAATAAATTGTTTTGGGTGTTTGCTAAAAGGGCCTTCACTGCACTATAAACCAAAAACATTGGGCTGGAAATATCAAAATATCTATTCATGTGCAACTTTTTTTTATTGAAAGTGCTCAATGTTCTATGCTACTTATAATTTGTCCACTAAGGTTCAAAAGACAAATTCAAACCCAAAGCCTAGACAATACCTACAAGGATGTGTACATTGTAATAATTTGATTTTTTATTTTTTGGATAAAAATAGAATATTATTGATCTACTTGATAAATCTCAATTTAGAATATCTCTTACTAAAAGTAAATGCGGATAACTCTTTGTGATGAAGAAAAAAAGAAAAGAACATTGTGATGAGATTTGAATGTGGCCTTTGTAAATTTAAATAATGGATTTGTGGCCTACTGGTACAGTTAGTGAAATATTTAGGCCCATTTAAATTAAAGCAGTATGAAGTCCGACAGGCTAGTNATGCATATATTATTTTCTTACAAAATATGCATATATTACTTTTTTCTAATATATAAGTAGAAAAATAAAATTAAATAATTTTATACAACTTGTATACTTCAAAATGTAATTCATATTGAAACATATCATAAGTACTTACCACATAAATATTTACATATATCTATTTGTTCTTAACAGTAGAAATATCCAAAAATAAAATGGTCGATCAAGTAGTTTGACCCATTCAAACTACTTTCATGTTAATTTCTAAGCACCTAGCCTCTCAAAACAATGATGCATATAAACAAAACAGAATATATATAATATGTCACCAAAACATACCCAAAAAAATTTCCAATTTCCTTCACTCACCTTGTTCAACATGCATGCAACAACACATACATTCAAAAACAAAAACCAAATCAAAAATAAATTAACATATATATCATATTCAATCAGCCACCAATTGTCCCTATACTACCACCAACACTTTCCTTCTCATCCAACCCAAACAACCCTTCCCTCTTAATCTTCTCCTCCTTAGCCTTCCTACAAAAAACCACCCAAGAATTTACCTCAAGCGCTATACAAACCCCAACCAAACTCGACAAACACAAGCTATACCCCAACTTCGCGTACGAGGACCACCACGACTCGCCTAATGCCTCCAGCCCCTGAAAACAATTCACCACCCCCAAAACGACACACGCGTACCCCACGAAGTGGTGGTACGACTTCCAATACCTCCGAAACCTATGAGTCGTCCTCGGCCGAAAGAGCAACGCCATCGTCTGCAGCCACCCGAGGCAGAAAACCGCAAACCCTAGCTTCCGGTGAAGCCCATAGGCCCGGCCCGGCCCGACCTGACCCAGCCTGATCCCGAGTCCGAACCCAACTGTCCCCACGAACACCCCCGCCAGTTGTACCCCCGCGTGCAAGTAGAACCACGTGGGCCCCACGGCCCGCACGGGCCTCAAGTACCGGGCCAAGACCGCGCCCGTCGGGAGTAGCAACCCCCACGAGATTGAATTCGCGATCCCGTGTGCGTACTTTAGTAGTATAGGCGGAGGAGACGCGCGGGCCCCACCCTCGGAGGCCGTGAGAAGGTCGAGGGTCGTCGCTGACGAGAGGTCGTCTGGCGAGGTCGGGTGCATCGCGGGCGAGTAGCCCTGCACGTAGAGGCCGCGGTTCCAGACGAGGTGGATCTTGGTCCGGTTGGGGACGAGCTTCAATGAGGCGCGGATCTCGATGGCGGCGCCGGAGTGGACGGTGGCCATGTGGCCGCCGTATAGGGCGGCAGAGGACGAGAGGAGGTGGAGGTCGGGGAGGGGTCGGGAGAGGAGCGGGCCACGTTGGAGCTTGACGGGCGGGTCGAGGATGTAAGGGAGGAGGACGAGTTGGCCCGAGTTGGGGTCGGGGAAGGAGATGAGGGCCCGAGAGCCCGACATCTCGGGGGAATTAGGGTTGAGCCCGAACCCGACCCAGCCCGAGGGGGAGATGAAGGAGCCGAAGAAGACGAGGTCGAGGGTCGAGTTGTGAGGGTGGTAGGACCATGCGAAGGAGGCGCCTTGGCTCGGGAGGGGCGTACACTTGTCGTAGGTTTGAGAGGATGGGGTGGTCGGGCAATGGGCCGGGTCGACCCTGTTCGGGTGGGTGGATAGGAAGATGAGGAAGAGGAAGAGAGTGTGCATAGCTA